TCCGTCCCCCTCGTGCTCTGTTCCAAAGTCCCGAAACCTTTCAGCTCGAGTTACAAAACCGTTTTCAGTGCCTGGAAGACTGCAATGAAGTGGACGATATGAATGACAAGCTCGTGGAAACTGTCCATGCGGTCGGAGCTAAGTTCTGCAAGACCCGCCGCAGAAGAACAAAAACTCTCCGATCACACTCTTAATCTCATGGCTGTTAGACGGGAGATGAAGCTACATTCTTCAACAGACTTGACAGCATACAGGCATCTGAACAGACAGATCTCCAAATGCATGCGGCGGGACTTACGCAACTTCAATACAGCTCGTATTGAAGAAGCGATCGCGCGGAACCAAGGCTCCAAAATCTTTGCCAGAGATCTGTCTGCCAGAAAGAGCCAACTGTCAAAGCTGAAGACAGAATGTGGCAGCATCGTTTCCGGGACACCTGAGATTTTGAGTGAGATTGAGAGGTTCTATGGGCAGCTGTACACATCATCGTTGGAGCCACACGCAAGTGTGAGTAACGATCCAAGAGCGAGTCTCATCCGACACTATTCCGAAGATATCCCGGATGTCAGTCTGAGCGAGATTAGGATGGCTCTCCAGCACCTTAAAAACGGTAAGGCCCCAGGCGAGGATGGAATTACAGCGGAGCTTCTGAAAGCGGGTGGAAGACCGGTACTTGAAGTCCTTCAGAAGCTCTTTAATTCCGTCCTGCATGGTGGCATTACACCGGAGGCGTGGAGCAGAAGTGCGGTGGTCTTGTTCTTCAAGAAAGGTGACAACGCTCTCTTGAAGAACTACAGACCGATTTCCCTTCTGAGCCGCGTCTACGTGCTGTTTTCGAGAGTCATTACGAATCGTCTCGCGCGCAGACTTGACGACTTCCAGCCTCCCGAACAAGCCGGTTTCCGAAAGGGCTTTAGCACCATAGACCACATACATACCCTTCGGCAAATTGTACAGAAGTCCGAAGAGTACAATTTGCCACTATGTCTGGCGTATGTGGACTATGATAAAGCCTTTGATTCCGTCGAAATTTGGGCGGTGCTGCAGTCCCTTCAGCGGTGCCAAGTTGACTGTTGGTATATCGAAGTGTTGAAGTGTGTTGTACAGTAGGGCTACGATGGCTATCCGAGTACAGAACCAGAGTACGAAACCTATCCAATTGCAGAGAGGTGTAAGACAGGGTGACGTCATATCCCCGAAACTCTTCACCGCTGCATTGGAAGACGTTTTCAAGCTTCTGGACTGGAAAGGATACGGTATCAACATCAATGGCGAGTACATCACTCACCTTCGATTTGCCGACGATATAGTCCTTATGGCAGAATCGCTGGAGGACCTAAGCACTATGCTCAATGACCTCCATAGTGTTTCCCAACGGATAGGTCTTAAGATGAACATGTACAAAACAAAGATCATGTTTAATGCCCATGTCACACCTATGCCGGTAGTTGTTGGGAGCACTAAGCTCGAAGTTGTTGATGAGTATGTTTACCTGGGACAAATAGTCTGACTAGGTAAGTCCAACTTCGACCGAGAGGTCAATAGACGGATTCAACTCGGCTGGGCAGCGTTCGGGAAGCTACGACACATCTTCTCGTCAGACATACCTCAAAACTTTAAAACGAAATTGTACAACCAGTGCGTGTTGCCAGTGATGACTTACGGAACTGAGACGTGGTCCTTCACTGCTGGCCGTATGAGGAAGCTCAAGGTCGCTCAGCGAGCTATGGAGAGGGCTATGCTCGGAGTTTCTCTGCGTGATAAACTTAGGAATGAGGATATCCGCAGTAGAACTAGAGTGACCGACATAGCCCAACGGATTAGTAAGCTGAAGTGGCAGTGGGCCGGCCATATAGCTCGAAGAACCGACAACCGATGGGGAAGAAAGGTTCTCGAGTGGCAGCCACGTACCGGTAGGCGAAGTGTAGGGCGTCCCCCCACGAGATGGAGTGACGACCTGGTAAGACATGCAGGAAGTCGATGGATGCAGGTGGCTCAGGACCGTGCTTTGTGGCATTCTTTGGGGGAGGCCTATGTTCAGCAGTGGACTTGTGAAGGGCTGTAATGATGATGAATGATGATCTAGCTTTCGTGGAAATGAACCTCTATCATTGTGGAGTCGCTAGCTTGGCGGCCGGTGGTGATCGTAGATCTAGACGTCTTGCATATTTGACGCTGGTATTTATAATATGCTTTTAAATAAAACATTTATTAGATATGTGATTTAACTATTGATTTATGGCTTGCTTCGTAACATTATACAAGTTAGTAAGAATTAAATTTAATTAGCTAAAAAAATTAAATTAAAAACAAGAAGCATGACTGGACAAAAGATACATAAAGAAAAACGAATAACTAAAATGATAAAATCAAGTAATCCTTTTTGGAATTTCTGATGAGCTTTTATAGAGATATAAAATACGACATTAATTTCTTTTTTTTTACGATTAGACCTTTGTTCAGCATCAGTTCTCATAAACACCGATTGCTGAACAGTGTTATTTTTCTATTTGATATTCTTTTTGGCTTTACATAATAAAAGCGCTTCGATCTGTTATATTTTTTGAATAATGCGTTTTTTCGTTTTGTTATTTGTGAGATATGTAATTAATATTTTAAACAATATGGGACATAAATGGTTTGATAAAAATTTGTAATGAAGGATCTGAAACCTTTATCATATTCTATAATATAATGCGCGTACTTCTCACCTGTCAAGTCTAAATGCCATTCAAACGCTTGGACACGTTTAGAGACAATTTAATCTTCCTTTTTATTAAATTCAACTTTGAAGCTTTTATTTATTTTACATGTCAAAAATTAAATGAAGGCAAATTAAAAGTTTTCATTATAACCTTTGTATGATATAATCGATACATACAATAAAACTGCAACGAGGTAACTTCTGTTTATTAGGTATATATAAATAAAAAATATAAATTAGAGGCTAATAAGTAAATGAGCGTCAAAAAATGGTGTATGTAATTGTGTACACATGTCAGAAGTGAAACTTCCTTACGACATATCATCTTCTTTTATTTCATTTTTTCGTTCTTTTTTAAGTAGGTTAAATAATAGTATACTCATGAAGCCCTGACGGTGAAACATTACAAGGAAACTTAACTTTTTTTTTAAATACAGTACTAAATTTCTCCACTACTTCGATAAAGAAGTTTCACTTTAAAATGCAGTTTTGGTTAGTAAAACAGACAGCATGTAAGCTCGTATAAAATATTATTAACACTGCACGGATTTTGATGGAGATTTCACATTTTACTAACAAATTGTATGATTCTGCGATTAGGTTTTACTGTTAAATATATTATTTTATTTATTTATTTCACCGTTCTATTGTTTAAGGACTTCTATAAATCAGAGGCCTAACAGGACAGTAACAAAAGCGCAATCAGTCTGATGGTAAATAGTTACTGCTGCCCTAATCTACAATAATTTCCAAACAAAGAAGTTTACAGATTGACACATTTAAGGACTAAGATGGAACGTCTCGTTAGCAGTAAGAAGGGAGACCCTTTCCTCGTATTGTATTGTCTGAGAGACCGTAGTCCTTTCTCAGTCAACCCCACCCATTCGTACTGCCGCCATAATATAGCTGTAGTGTAGCTTTACTATATAAAAAACACTTAAGTTTCTTTCGATTAGGCCCAGGGTGGCATCTGAGATCCCTGAAATTAGTAAATTCTAAATGAACCTGTAAAATTCAACAGGCTAACGGCACTAACATCACAGAAACTAGATGAGATGAGTAAATTCAGAAGTATTAATCTCTTAGAGATGACTTTGTATTTGTTTGAACAATACAATTACAAAAAGTAAAGCCTTCTTCTTCACTTTAGGGGCTACTAATGGAATTAATATGTCCGTGACTGCTCCTCACCGCTAGTGATAAAAAGGATGGTTCGTTTTTCATCTTGAAACACGTATAACCATTATGCAATTAAGATTATATTAAAAAAATGTTTTTAGCTTTTATTATTATAACGTCATTGTTAATTAAAATAATCTTTAAACCATCTATTACAGCCTAAAATGTTCCTAGCTGAACATAGGCCTCCCCCGTAGATTGCTTCTATGGGGGATATTATTACAACGCCACTGCATCGTAACGGAAAGCCAATCGACCAAGCTGGTTAATAAATAATGGTACTCAACAATCCCGTCAGCAGGCTGCTTGAATTATCTTTTAACATTCTTGTTAATATTTAAAATAAAATATGTTAAAAACGAATTCAAAACTAAAAAAATATTCTGTTTTTTTAAACTTTGAATATCTCACAAAATTTACGCGTAGAATATAGGACCTCCTCCTTTTTTGAAGATGGTTAGTAAAATACGAGGTCATCATTTCTTATTTTAGGGATGTTTTTACTGAAATTTTGAATAAAGGGCAACTTAAATTTTAATTAACATATTATGTATCTTAGGGTGCGTACAAATCAAGTAACATATTATATAATTTTTGTTTTATAACACGTCCACATTATGTGACAGTGATTTTTAACATTGCAACATATAACAATACTGTACACATTAGAATAACAATGCAATATAACAATGTTATATGACATTGTCGTTTGTCGTACTGCCGTTCTAGTTATATAACATTTGTGTCACGTTATATGATACGTTTTATAACATTCAGCCTCCTCATTACTGAAACATGTTATATTACAAGGTTTTATAACATGTTATGTTATATAATGTGTACGCACCGTAAGACTGTGAATAATATTTTAATTTAAACCTAATTATTTATTTATTTATTTATTTATTACAATTTTAGGAGAACTTACAGCTGGTTATAAATGTATGAACAATAAAAATAAAAAAATGTACTGAAGGCCAATTAAAAGTTCCCACTTATAAATAAAGTACAGAGAAAAATTGCACAAGTGACGTAGACGTAGATTTAATGACACAATAAAAGATGATTTAAAAAGTAAAATGAAATAAATAACAATGCATGGTATATGTAATACACATCAGTAAACGAAAAACTTATTACTCAGTAGACGCTTAAGCTGCCTGCTAGAGGTGTTAAATAAGTCTACATTTTGTATTTTCGCCACGTCATTGAAACACTTGCTCACTCTTATTAAATAAGAATTTTGCCTGTAGTTTGTATTTACTCCCGGCACGTATAGTTTGCATGGCTTGCGTGAAGATGCGTATGGAACTTGTAAACGTATTTGCTCCAACAGTTCGGGACAGTCGATCGTGCTATTTGCTATATTAATTAGAAAAGATAGATCCGCTATGCGCCTTCTTTCATATAGCGGCAAAATGTGAAACTTTCGGCAACGTGTTGTGTAATTCGGTAGAAAGATCTTAACTCTAAATTGAAGATAGCGAAGAAATTTTTTCTGAATCCGTTCAATACGCGTAGAGTAAATATTATAGGTAGGATTCCATACTTGAGAGGCATACTCTAGATGACTTCGTACGAAAGCACAGTAAAGAATTTTGAAGGTTTTAATAGAATTGAAATCAGAAGACATTCTTAAAATAAAGCCAAGAGCTTTAGAGGCTTTGTTTATAATATTGTCAATATGTTTATTAAACAGTAATTTGGAGTCAAAAATTACTCCTAAATCGCGGATAGTGTTGACTCTAGTTATATCTATATGTTTTATAGTGTAGCGGAAAATTATAGGTTTAGTCTTCCGTGTGTATGTGCAAATATAGCATTTGGAGACATTTAAGTCTAATTTATTGTATAGACAGTAATTTTCAAACCTACCCAAGTCTTCTTGCAAATGATATGCGCTTTCGAGGGACGTTATTGGACTTAATATTTTCATATCATCGGCGTAAAGTAGGATTTTTGAGTACTTGAAACATATGATGATATCATTAACAAAAATATTAAAGAGTAAAGGCCCTAGCAAGGAGCCCTGTGGGACACCAGAAGGTATTGGCATGGCCTTAGAGGTGTAACCATTTAGGGCAACTGTCTGACTCCGATTTTGGACGTAAGAGGTGAACCACCGATATAAATTACCTCGTATTCCTACTGATTGAATTTTGTGTAATAATAGCAAATGGTCTATTCGATCAAAGCATTTGCTATAGTCTATGTAGACCACATCGACTTGTGAGGGCTCTGACATATGTTCTGATAAGTAGTCAGTACATAATATAAGATTAGTAGTTGTTGACCGACCCTTGACGAAACCGTGTTGTTGAAAGCTAAGTGTATGTTTTAGGGCAGCATATAGTTGATCATAGACAATTCTTTCAAGCACTTTTGCAAATAGACATAATTTGGAAATAGGTCGGTAGTTGTCAACTTGATCTCTTGGGCCTTTTTTGTAAATTGGTGTGACATAAGCCGATTTCCAGATTCTTGGCATTAAACCTTCTGACAAAGAACGCCGATATAATATAGTCAAAGGAAACGCAAGGCTCTTGGCGCAAAAATTATGCAACGCTTCTCTTTTTGTAACTTTTAACCCTCGTTTCAGCGAGTCTTACCTAAATATTTAAGTTGGGTGTAACTTTGATCGTTTACTTTAAGTACAAATGTAGTGTTTAGGCAAGAATATTTATTTTTATTATTTACCTTCGAAACGTATTCTAACGCGCGCGCTTGGCCTCGATATCGAGGTCACCTCCCCCTCCCCCCGGCCGCCTGACGCGGCGGGATAGGACTTTTCGAGAATTAGTGTAGAATTTCTTGCGAGCTAGACTGACGTTTTTTCCGCTCCTAACTTGTTGAGAAAGTATCAACCCGCGTAAATCGCTGTGAGAACCGTATCGTTCATCAGGAACTACTAACTCCGTTAAATTCATTGTGCAATCAGCTGTCCCATTTCGTGACAACCCAGGAAGAGTGCCTCCAGAGGGGGAAAGTTCCGAAGATACCAGCGCATACCTTCTTCCGGACGGCATTGCGTCATCCAGATCAGGGCCCGTCAACATACACGCACATACAATTACACATACACTCACGACACTGTCATCAGCCGGGCCGGTCTCGGAGGGTCGTCTCCGCTCCTGGAGCAGGTGAGTGCCTTATCGTATTGACATTTCCCCTCTTTGTTTCCATCAGAAATTTCCACGTGGCCACATTGAGCCCGACCTACTTCTGCTCGGGAAGTCTTCAGCTCATGGGCCCTGAGGATCTGATCCTTTAAGGGAGCAGCCGTAGGCCGTAACAAACTGGTAGCAGAACGCGGTTCCGGGTTCGATTCCCGGTCGATCCCGACCATAGTGTTGATAAACATTAAAGAATTCTGGTGGGAGGGAGCGTTGGTTTGATTGGTTTAATTTTTATCTACAATCACGCCCGTCCGTAATACGTAAAAATATTTTTTTGTACGTAATAATAGAATTATTTCGTAGTAGTAGGTAGATGGTTATTTTTACGTAATCGGTTAATTATCGTTGTCTGATAGTTGTAGTGGATTACTTATCGATTTCTGAATTTCGAAGTATCTTCGTTTATACTGTAATTTGTAATTGAACTAAAGAGTAGTAATTGTATTTGCGCAATTTGAATTTAACTTGATTTGACCGTACTAGGGTTGTTACGTGCTAATTTGATTTGTGTTTTTTCGTATTTACTTGTAGTTTGATTGATATTATCGTATTAGTAATACTGTATTCGTTATTTCTTTTATTTTGTTATTAGTATTTGTTATTGTATTGTATTTAGTATGCCGTCACATAAGCTACTAATTCGTTGCTTGCGGACTGAGCTGCGCTGGGCCACCAGCGCACACGCATTGATAGGCCGACCGGACAGGGTCTATAATCTGAGGAAGAGGCTCAAGCAGGTCGATGCTCGAAGGGCTGCCGTGGAGGAGGCTTACTCTGAGCTCGAGGACTCGGAGGTGGAAAAGGGAGTCCTGGACTCCTGCCGCGCGGACTACGAGCAGTTCCTCGCGCTAACGGACGACCTGATCGAGGCGGGGGCCAAGGACGCGGAGAGGGAGCGCGAAGCTCGGCTGAGTAGCCTTCTCGAGTCCCCGCGGAAGCCGCCTACTCAGCCAGAGCTGCTAGGACGACTCCCCACGCTGGACCTGCCGAGGTTCTCCGGGGTCCTCTCGGAGTGGCTGACCTTCGTCGGCATGTTTGACAGCCTGGTGGACGCCCGGAAGGACCTGACCCCCTGCCAAAAAATGGGGTACCTCCTGGCATCACTGGAGGGGGAAGCCCGGGGCGTCGTCGGCCACCTTAAGTTGTCGGACGACGCCTACCAAAACGCCAGGGACCTCCTCGCTGGAAGGTACGCCAACGTCCGGCGGATTGCGGACGATCATGTTCGGAGGCTGCTGAACCTCCCGCTGCTGAAGGACCGGACTAGACTACGTGAAGACATAGTGAATCCAGTCGTCGTAGCGTGCAACTCGTTGCGGCGGCTGGATTTACCTGTGGACGAGTGGTCTTTTCTGCTCCTTCATATAGTGCTGTCCCGCCTGCCCCTCGACCTTCGGCTCCATTTTGAGGAGAGGTACGGAGGGGATGGCGCTTCGTACATTCCCCCCTTTAGGGACCTGCTGCGGTTCCTGGAGGAGCAGTGTAGGCAGCTGGAGAACGCAGCAGGCGCCGTCGAGGGCCCCCCGGCCGCCTCCCGAGCGGTGCCCAGGGAGAGGCGGAATCAGCCGGCCAAGGCGGCGCCCACCCCCTGAGGCCGAGCGGAGCCCCTGCGGGAGGGCGCCCCCCAGTACCCTCCTATAGTGGCCTAGCGACCCGGGAGGCGCCTCCCTGCTCCTATTGTCGAGCATCCGACCACCGGGCGGCGTCGTGCCCGAAGTTGTTGCGCAAGCCGACTACGGCGAGGCGAACCATCGCCAGGGAGCGCCGCTGGTGCTTCTCGTGCCTGGAGAGGCATTTACAACGAGACTGCCCGCACCAGCGGCCCTGCACGCACTGCCAGGGTAACCACCACGTCATATTGTGCCTGGGTGCGCGTGGCTCGTCCTCTCAAGGCCCTGACAGCCCCCCGACTCCCACGGGCGGGGGCGCCCAGCCACGCCTACTGTCGGGCAACGCCCGGCGCTCACCGGTGGAGCACAGCGCCCCTCGTTCTGAGGGGAGTCCCTCCCCCGATCGGTCTGGGAATCGTTCCCCCAGGGGCGGGGGGGTCTTCACCCCCCCTCAGTGAGTTGATAGTGGATTCGCAGCCACTCAGCGGTCAGCTAGACCGTTCTCACCCCCGTTGGCTGAGTGGCCGCGACTGGAACGCCGCCCGCCCCCCTTTGGTCGGTGCCGGTACTACCGGGTTCCGGAGACTGCTTATCGGCCCCGGGCCTTGGAGCCGAGGATCCCCGAGTTTCCCCAGGTCGGCCCGTTCGGGGAATTCCAGTCAAGGGTCATCGAGACGCCGTCGGAGTGCCGCTCTCGGGGGCCCCGGTTCGGGTGCCGGTCCAACAGAGGCAGTTCCAGATAGGAGGCTGCCGCCCTAGCTCCCGCCAGGGCCGCCTCCACTGAGCCTATAAGTCGTCAGCAGTCCACCTGTCAAACTGTTCTATTGCCGACGGCCTCAGTGAAGGTTTACAACCCGAGCGGCGAAATACTGGACTAGGAACTGAATTAGCTATAACAGAAATTAAGGATAAAATTAACGAACTCAAAAATATCACTCACAATAACAATACCATAGATGAAGAGATTAAAAGCATAAAGCAAAACGAACATACTAAAGTATTAGCTAACAATAAAAAAAACATATGCAGAAGCAACTAATACCCCCCGCTATGCAATGATTATTGAGTCCATAGATCCCCGCTCAACATGTGATGATATTTTAAAACAGGTTAGAAAAGATGTGGACCCTGTAGACTTGGGAGTACGTGTTAATAAAATATCTAAACTAAAAAATCAAAAAGTTATAATAAGCTGCGACTCCCAGCAGCACAGACATCTGCTTAAAACTGCAATTCGTGATACTTGTGATAAGCTAACAGTATCAACACCTGTAACTAAAAACCCACAGCTACGTCTCGTGGGCGTCACAAATGACTTAAACGATACTAAACTTGTTAAAGCCATCACAAGTCAGAACGACTATTTACTGCAAGAGTTAACAGAGGAACAAAACAGTATAAAAATCTTACGCAGAATCAAAGGAAGGGTTAGGGAGGTTAATAATGTTATACTCGAAGCCTCACCGCAAATGTGGTCAAAATTGAGAAATCAAAAACTACGAATTGGCTATCAAGTCATTCCCTGCATCGACCAATCACCACTCACACAGTGTTATAAATGTCTTGGCTTCAGTCACAAAGCAAAAGACTGTAATAACAAACAACGTTGTGGATATTGTGCTGAGGAGCATGATACAAGAGACTGTCCAAATCGCAATAATGCCCCTAAGTGCTGTAACTGCAATATTGCTAAAAGGGACAACTTCTTGCATCCAGCATACAGCCCAGAATGCCAAGAATGGCAAAAATGGGACCAAATTGCTAGATCATCAGTCTCCTATTGTTAAGAAATATTCAACGAAACAACAAATATAGGACCCCAAAATACTTCTAGTACAATGAAGCATATAAAATTCATGCAGATTAACCTGGATCGTGGGCGGGCGGCGACACTTGAGTGCCTACGTGCAGCCACGATGTAGGAATACTCTGTGATTTTGATGCAGGAACCATACGTTGGTGCCAAAGCTCATTTAACTGCGGGTTCCCAGTATAGAATCATACAAAAAGTTACCAAGGATAGAGATAAACCTGTCAGGTCGGCAATTGTTATCAGCGATCCCACAATTCAATTCACTATCAATCCAACTCTCCTATATGAGGACATAGTAGGTGTAGAGTTAGAACTTGGTCACTTAAAAATAGGTGTAATCAGTATGTATCTACATCAGAAGGGAGACATCGATGAAGACCTACAAGTGATAAGGAGATACAAGAAAAACATGACAACAAATGACATTATAATAGGAGGGGATGCCAACGCAAAGAGCATCTGGTGGGGATGCAAAACAGACGACAGCAGAGGAAAACTCATTATGGAAACATTCGCGGAACTGAATATAGATATCCTCAATGTAGGCACCACACCTACTTTTTCTGTTTATAGAATGAATAAATTATGCACGAGTATAATCGATATTACCGCTTGCTCGTCATCACTACTTCATAGACTGAAAGACTGGTATGTCGAAGAATCACTCTGCACAATTTCAAGCCACAAATTAGTCTCATTCAATCTCGAATTAGTGCTTTCTAATACCGCAGTCAATATACATGGCACAAGAATCTATAATACCAAAAAGGCAAATTGGGGCAATCTGAAAAATGAACTGAATACAGAACTTGAAGAGCTAGAAGAAACAATAAAAAACTACACAAAATTAATATTATCAGGCTGTAATAACAATATACCAATGAAAAAA